AATATATATAAAAAGGAAATATTTCTTTAAACATTATAAAAACCAAAAGCAAAAAAAATTATAACATCTAAAGCTCTTGTTAACATAATACGCTGACAAAATCATGCTAATTCCAAATAAAATAATTTGTAAATCGCCTTAACTACACCGAGGAAGCAGGCAACTTTCATAAATTATTACTTAAGAATATTGCTAAAGTTACTTTAATAATAAAAAAATAAGAATTTATTTGTCTTAATGAGACTTTTGATATATTTTTTAAAAATTAATTAATGTAAAAAAAACTAACTTGTAATAAAAAAAAAGATTATTTTCAAAATAAATGTACTTATTATTATTATTTTTTTTATTCACTTTTTTTTTTTTTGTAATTAGATAATTTAAATTAAACGAAATATAAAAAATTTATCTTGCAATAGTTTATAATAAAAATAAATCTTTTTAAACAAGACAAAAATCAATGGACTACTAACGTGACGTCACATTCCGCATGAGCGGGCCTTCTACTTTAGAAGGCCTTGCATTGATCCGTCCACACCAAACGTTAAATGGAGATAAACCATTAAGTTGGCGCTGCTGGGCTTTGGCCTAGTGCAACTAATAAACCCTTAAGTGGGCCATACACAGAGTTTAGACTCCCAATCAACACCGCTTTTTAAAGCCCTGTCAAAAATCATAAATCAAACATAATAAATAAAGAATAACAATATAAGCAAGTATTAGCATGCCGATATTACTTTTAAATTGTTTATCTAATAATATAATACCGATATTGAGGCCTTATTCGAATACCTTATTACCGATATTGGCGCTATTTTGTTTGCTAGTACTAACGCATTAGCTTTTAATTTTTACCTTTTCACTAAGCTGTACGCATGTCCAGAGGCTATTCTAGGAATAATTTGGGGGGGGGGGGGAAGGGGGGCGAATCCTAAAAAAATTACCAACTGGTTTTTTTTTTAAAAAAAAAAAATGTCCTCAAAACGAAAATTTAACCGACCGAACTGTGTCAAATAACTGACTAGCCGACTAAATTCTTGAAAAATCCGACTATAACTTGAAAATCACCCCTCCCCTCCCCCTTCTCCCCGTAAAATTGCCTCTGCGCATGTCTAACATAAATTGATAAGAAAATGTATTGTTTTTACAATTTTCATTAAAAATAGGCTTTTATTGGATTTTTATAATCTTTTCTTTCACTTGACATGAACTGGTATAGTGGTTTATTATGTTGGATAATAGAGTAAAAGTAAGAAGACTAGGTATTAGAATGTGCAACTTAAGTTCATATAAAGGTTTACATGACATGAACTTTTTATCAAATTTCTATATCGTATATGTATGAATTTCTATTGTTGTATGTGTTCAGTTGACATGAATTTTTTACTAATTATTTTTATCGTCCTTGATGCAATAGGCGAATGAAAATGAGCAAATATTTTTACTCTGAGTTTTTAGAGAAATTTTTGAGTAACTTTTTTTCTCGCGAAAGCTCTGAGCAATTGCTCATATAAGAGATAGGGTTGAATAAAAAAAGCTTTATTTCATATAACGGCGAGCAATTGCTTCAAACTTTATGAGCACCAATAATAGCTGCTTTTTGTTTTATTTTTTGATAATTGGACATATTCAGAATTTGTCTTTCGTAATAAATAAACGAGGCGAGGGTTTTAATAAGCTCTAAGTATGCAGAAAAGTGAGCAAATTAAATTTTTTTGTTAAAGGACATATTTTAAATATGTTATTTTTATGATGTTTACTAAAAAATATTGAAGTAAATAAAGAATAAGCATAGAAATGATGGTTGTGGAATAGACTTACTAAGAACCGTCAGTAAATAAAATATAGTTTGTAAAAGCTATAAATAACGAAGAAAAATAAAATACGGCAAATAACAGACTACTGTATATACGTATCTACAAACTCCATACTGTGTTCTATAAAAAAATAATCAATCTGGACACTTATGTTTATGCTATTTTATGATATTTTTGTTACTTACATATAAACTGCAACTATTTAACTTTAAGCATTTTAAAATTGACCTATCCAAAAATGATTTGGGCATTATAAAGCATTTTTTGTTTTTAGTTTTATCTAAATTGCAACAAAAAATACTTGTTAGATCATTTAGTTTTTAAATACGCTTTAGGTACGCCTAAAATTTGCATTAAAAATGATGTTGTATTTTTAAAGCCGTTATCAGAATAGATAGATCTTATAAGTTGTATTAAAAGACAGGTTAAGCTTTCAGACAATAAAGGATAAATGTTTTATCAAAGCAATTTAAATATGGTAATTTTAAGAGTATCGAAATCATACTATTGTTAATTGTCAATAAATGTGTGAGCATTTAAACAACAGAGTTAAAAAACAAATTAGCGAACTGAGTATGTTCGGATTTTATAGGTTATTATAGATATTAATTTATGTTAATTAAAATAACTTATTTAAGAAGCATTTAAACTATGTCCAAAATTCCAAGTTTATAAATAACTTAATTGACGCCGGCTATCTCATAATTTTTGAAATTTGCTTACTGGTCTTTAATTTTAAGAAAATGAACTGTAAATACATTATCCAACTTCAGTAGATTTTAAAAAACTCAAATAAAAACAAATTTACTTTGAATAGTAAAAATGATTAACTTTTACCGATTTATATTGATTGGCATAATAACGAATAGGGTATCAAAAACTGAATAGTGTTGCACAAAAGTTTGACTTTTTTTTGTTGTCAGGAATGGCAATGAAAAATATATCTTTCTTTTTATTATAAAACTTTCGTTTAAATTAAACTTCTTCCGTTGTTTATAAGATTTTATCAATGTTTGAAGAAATCGTTTAACTATGAAACCCCTTAGTGAATTGTGACAAAAAAAACATTCTTTTAGTTATCAAACTTAAAAATTTTTTTAAACTTCTGAAAACTCTTGTGAAACTAAGAGAACCCCACCAATTTGAGGCTCTAGACGGCTGTCTAGTTTGCTAATGCTAAAAGCCGACCCTGCTTGCCCAGATGTCTAATATTCTGAGTTTTATTTCTTAATCTACTATTTTTCACTGCCTGATTTGTTTTTAATTTTGTTTAATTACTTCGAGCCAAAACTCTTTTGATCATTTTTAGATTTCTTTAACTTTCTTCCTGAACTTAAAAATTATAAAAAGAAATCCGACACCACTCAATTGAATTTATAATATTATAAAAGCGGTCTCCTTAAGTTTAAAAAAAAAAATGTTTTACGAGATTTCAATTTGCGTTTTTCATGTTGTAATACATCGATCTTCACTGGTTTTTATGTCAGATTTTTACATTTTAAATCTTTTTTCTTACTTTCTACGGTTTTGTAACAACGTAAAAAACATCAAAAAAATTAGGGACTAGATGCCTCTGATGCCAATAAAAGATGAAAAATATAGGAAAGATTGGGGCTAGTTGCCTCTGTTTTTACTCTTTGAACTCTCTAGCCTATATTGCAGTTTTTTTTTAATATTGTTGTCTTAAAGAATATAAATTTGGTTAATATATTTAAATCGTCTTTGTGTTGAATTCTGATCTTTTCCATAGATAAAAGCTGCAAAAAATATGATTAGTTTTTTTCTATGTTCAAATAAAATCTAGGGCGTTAACAGAAAAGTAAAATAAAGTAGCCTTAAAAGAAATTCATTTAAAATGACTATTTTGACAGTTTTCGTATTAAAACTACAGTTAGCCGTCGAGTTCAAAATTGTTCTGCTATTGTAATTCAAATTTTTAATCTAAAATTGTATTCATTTTACCTATTTCTCAAAACATTTTAGACTCGTTTTGCAACGTTTAGCTCGGTTGTGCAAAGTAACCCATTTACACGGTATATTATAAAAGATAATATTGGTAAATAATACCCTTCATAATATACCATGTAATCGGGTTACTTTACTTAACCAAAACGCAGTTATATCTTATCTGCGTTTTGGTTGTACGATTGTAAAAACCGTGGTGTTAATAAAACGTTGTTTATGAACATAAATATAAAGCATATTTTTAAATAAAATCTTTCTTATGAATATAAATTAGAATTTAGTTGCCAACCGTGATTCTCTATTCTGTAATATCATTAATGTGAAATTTTAATGCTATTGTTTTAGTGAAAAGACACAAAACTAACTTTAGCGTCTTTAGATTATCATCTCTGTGGCCAACCTTAGTTGACAAAAAGTTATTACGCAAATCTTACGAAACATTATAAATTCGTTTTAATAAAATAATTTAATTCTAAAATATTTCAACATTTAACTTCAGAAGTTAATTAAGATCTTCATTTTATATTACATTTAATAACCCGCATGTAACGATTGAGCAACTAAATTTCTTCTATTTCTAAACAGCATTTGATTTTAGATCCGACATTTAAAGCAGTCTATATACCTGATTTACAATTACATTTTTAAAACATTATGACTTGTTGTTGATAAAATTTATACTAAACAAGTTTAAGTGTAAAAGTTCTAATCACCTAATATTTAAACTTTTCACTTTGTTTGTAATATTTAGGGACGCTATTTTACATTGTCACAAGCTTAGGTTAGTTCAAGTGTTTATGACAGAACACAAAAGGTTTGTTATTACACCACAATCACACTGTGGCATAAAGATGAATGGGATCAAAAAACGTGTAACATTATAAAAGTATGTCTTATTTTCTAATCATAAAATGATTATTGCTAGACCCCTACCATCTATAAAGAACTTTACGGAACAACCGCCCTGTTTTTATTTTTCTCTTTTATTAAAAACTGATCGGCCTTAAAATAGCTAAGAAAAGTTTCATTGAGAACCTAACTTTTAAACATGTCGGAGCACAGACAATACAACAACAAAAATAATGAGATTTTGCATGCGAGAAATTATGAGATTTCATCAGATCAAAAGAAAATAGACTTATTGTTAAAATAAAAATAACTATATAATAAAGAAATTCTTCATCTATGACCACTACTTTATATGGAAATGTCTTATTAAAAGACGTTTTTATTATTAAAAATATAATAGATTATGTTAAAAATACAATCCAAGGAAACCTATAAATTCAATGCTAAAACTTTTTTTATTTAAAAAGAATGTCTGGAAAAAGATGTATTCACGTTTGGTTCTTATTGCAATTTCTTTCCAATGGTAAAAATTTTTTAAATAATAATATGATAATTTAAATTATTAAATACGAGAGTTAAAAGTCTTAATTTATACGAGTTGAAAATTTTTTTTTTCCTGTATATTTTGTTCTGTATATTCTGTACTATTTACAAGTAAACGAAATCTGCACGATTCAGAAAAATCAGCTTCAAATTGCACACTCTGCATTTCTAAATAGTAGTTCTTTTCTGAAAGTTGTAATTTAGAAATTTATTACTTTTATATTATCTCGAAAAGTGTTTTATTTTCTTTGTTAGTATAAAAAAAACTGATATCATTGAACAAACTTAACAATTTTGTTTGTAAATTTAAGTAAATTTAGTTCACTAGGAACAACTAGGACCCTAAGATAGAGTTGTAGCAGGAGTTTTTGATGCTTTAAATATTACACCTTCAGACATTGTGTAAACTCCAAGATTAAGTATGTTCATCCTTATGTCAAATGAAAATTCAGTGATTGTAGTCTGAGTACAGAATACCTGAAACTGTTTCCCACTAACTTTGTGTGTGTGTGTGTGTGTGTGTGTGTGTGTGTGTGTGTGTGTGTGTGTGTGTGTGTGTGGTGATTATTAGGCAAAAGCTCATGCCTCCTTTCTTACCAGTGTAAGAAAGGAAGCCCAAGAAGTAATGCCAGAACTCTAACTACTGCGCCACAGCTGTTTAACTAACTTAGCCCAAATATGAGAGCATTAAATTGTAAAATAAAGTGGTAATAAACTATTTTTTTCTTACGACACCATTACAAAAAAAAGTAAATAACGAGTTAAAAAATTCGTCTAAGTTCTGTTGGTTTTTACCAAATAAACTTTAAAGGTGAACATGGTTGTTGAGCAAATTTATTTGGCATCCACCAAAACAATTTATTTTCCTGTTCTTTAATTTAATTAAAAGAAACTTTACAGAAAAAGAACACACTGAATAGTTAGAAAAAAATTGTCTGAGTTCAGTTTGTTTTTACCAAATAAACTCTAAAGATTTACATGATTTTTTACATGATTGCTGAGCAAGTTCAATTAGCATCCACATTTTTTTTTTTGTTCCTTTGTTTGTTTAAAAGAAACCTTTGCAATAAAAAAAAAATAAAAACCTGGATACTTTCAAAAGATTATATGAGGGCAAGTGAATAAAAAAAGCTATTGTTAACAAGCAAATGGTTCAAGTAAAAGTAAAAACTAAAAAGCGAATGCTCACGTCAAAAGAATTTGCTCGAAATACATGATTACAGTTTTGTTTTTTCTGATAAGCATATATTTCCACTTATGAGTAACTGGTTTATGCCGCTACCAATAGAAGCTATTTATTATTATTTTTTTTTAAAGTAGCTGCTTTTAGTTTTAATCAGAATAATAACAATGCTAACTAAAATGAAAATAATGTTAACTAATGCAAAGATTACATATATACCGTAATACATATACACACACACACACACACACACACACACACACACACACACATATATATATATATATATATATATATATATATATATATATATATATATATATATATATATATATATATATATATTATATATATATATATGTATATTCATAATATCGTAAATAAAATAAAATAAATTAATAAAATAATAAAATGAGTGTCTATTATCAAAATATAAAACATAAAGCAACTAATATTGGTGCTCGTAATATTACCAGCAATTGCTCGCCGTTTTTCTAGCTATAGCCTTTTTATTCACCAGTATTTCCAATATGTGGGAAAATATCTCAATACTTTGAGCAACTGCTCATGAGTAAAAACTTTTGCGAAAAAAAGATTCGCTTAAAATTTTGATTCACATAAAGTTAAGCAATTACTCCAAAAACGCTGAGTAAAAGTAGTTGCTCTTTTTTTTTACCCGGCCTAAGATCAGCTGCTTGTTCTAAGTTATTAAAAAGAATAGACTTTTTGTCAAAATAGGAAAAGAAAGTTGAGTCATTGGCAAATAACGCCACTTTAAATGTAATATGTTAGGCAGATTACTAATGTAATTAAAAATCATTAAAGGACCACGAAAAGAATTTTGAGGTACCCTAAAAATTTATAAAAACGACGAAGAGTGTTGGCTTTTATAGATAACTTTAATAAAATGGTTAGAAAAAAATGATGGTGTAACTCTTCCAGTTACACCATACGAGACAAGCTTATGGAGAAGTCAAGCATGTCAAACTTTATTGAAACATTTAAATATGTCAAAAGCAATAGCCTCTATCTATAAAGTTTTTTTATCGCAGTAGTTAAAAAATCATCCGTAAAATACGAAGATTGAAAAAAATATTGGTGGTCAGAGATTAAGTTATTACACTTATATTATTATAAATTTGATGACTAAATTTATTTTATTTATTTATTTTAATTTTCATGCTATATTTTCTACACAATGTTATATCCGAAGATATCGTTGGCTTGGCATAGGAACAGCCACAAATACTTATAAAAGACTAATCCAAAGTAGCGTCCGTTATTAACCAACATTTTTGCGTGCTGAAGTACTACTCAAGCGCTGAGTTGGCGGTGGCAGGATTTGAACCTATATCGTGCAACAGTTCAATTTAACTTTTCCTTTGACGCTCTAACCAACTAACGACTTCATTATTTTGCTAATAATAGAAATAAGACTGATCTATGATAGCTGGAGGGATCAGAGTGTTATATAGATTTTTTAAATATTTGAGCCTCATATACCATTTTTCAGCAAACAGTAAAACAAGATTTAGTCAGGGATTTATTAAATAGTTTAAAAAGAATTGAAAAGACTTTTAGAATATACATTTGTAAGATTATGACAGGGTGTTGTCTTGTAAGATTATGACAGGGTGTTGTCTTGCAAGATTATGACAGGGTGTTGTCTTGTAAGATTATGACAGGGTGTTGTCTTGTAAGATTATGACAGGGTGTTCAATCCGTAGAAGAATTTAACTGAGAAATGACTTTAGCAAAGGAAGCCGAAGTAATTTAGATGTCTAACAAATGGCTGACTTGTTTAACTGGAATAGCAGGAAGAGTAAAATTCAAGAGTTGAATCATAAGAAAAATTCTTTGCATAAAATTCAGCCTTATCCTAAGAAGAGCTTATCCTAGGAAGAGACTTATCCTAGGAAGAGCTAACTTAGTTTTATTAATGTTGAACACAAAATAAAAGTAAAAATACAAACAAAATGTTTTGATGAATAATTAAGATAATTTAAGATATTAGATTTAATAAGAGTATTAATAATATGACTATATCACTAAAATGACTATAAATAATATGACTATATCACTAAAATGAGCAAAATTAAAATATTACTAGACCTAGAAATGGCCATAATCACAAATAAGAAGATTTAAAAAGCAAAAGTTTTTCAATATTAATTTTAAAGGATATATTAATACTATGGAAATTGCAAAGCTTTGTCAACATATTAGATACAGGTATTTTAAAGGTGTGTTCGCATCGAATTCTTTGAAGTTACTATTTGGGTTTTGTAATGTTTTAAAAGGCTCAATATGAGAATCTTGATGTTCAGAATTCAAATTAAATTTACTATCAGTAATATTATCTCACAATACTCCATAGCTTCAAAAACATAAACCAAGACAAACATGGGTAAATAAGAAATAATATCTTTCAAATAAATAATAATAGTATTATAGTTCAATTTAAATAATAAATTAATTTTAAGTACTTTTTATTTTTCCTTAAATTTATTGAAAAAAGCTGAATGTTTTTAAAATTTTAATGTTAGCGCTGCATGTCAGTGATGCAGAAATCGTATATCCAAAACGCCATCACAAAGAACGCTTCCAAAACGATTTAGGCACATTAAATCAGGTAAGAACAGTTGCTTTTTATTCATTATTTTGCAATATATTATAAGTTGTTACAACACGTTGCAATATGAGAAACTTTCCATTACTTGTTGAACTTTTTTTATTTTCCTAAATGACGTTCTTCCGAAAATTTTTGTGTTTTTATTTGTTTAATAGTTTCATATTGTTTAAGAAAATTTAAAACTTAATCATTTCTAAACAATAATTCTGATTTTAACCTGTAGTGAATAATTTTTTTTCTTCACAATTAACTATTTGTTAGGAGTTAGGAGTATGTAAAATAATTTGTGGCAACTTTTAACTCTAAAGGTTTTAACGGTAGGTTTGTATCTGATTTGTCAAAACATATTATTTTCATATATATATATATATATATATATATATATATATATATATATATATATATATATATATATATATATATATATATATATATATATATATATATATATATATATATATATGTACTAATATATATGTGCTCATTTTTTCGGACCAAATTGCGTCTTAGCTTTCTTACTAACTTTTATTATGAGTCTAACAACATACTCTCTGACCATCAATTGGGATTACAATCCTCTTGTCTACTGGTAACAATTTAACCGTTTTTAACAAAAAGTTTGATTGTGCATTAGCTATCAGTGGATAAACAACGATTATTACTGTTAACATTTAAAAGATATATTATGTTGATCTTTTTTAAAAGCTCTATTTTTACTGTGTGTCTTAAAAAGTTTATAAAATTGTTGAATTTTTTCTTTTAACTGCAGGGTTAAAGTTGTACTTGACAAACAACATTCTCCTTTTTATTCAGTTACTTTTTAGGGGCCAAATAGTTTTTTCGTTAATTATATGTTGTTTTTTATCAATATTATTGGTATTCCTGATAAAATTAACGTAAATGACAACACACTATAACTATTAAACTATATACTAGATACCAACAATTTTCAACTTTTAGAAAAATCAATTGCTATTAGCACATTTATTAGACCATAAACTTATAATGTGCAAAATTTGAGTTGGAAGTCTTCCAAAATCTTATTTTATTTAAATGTTTTTACAAATAAGTTACCATAGTTACCTAAAGGCATAAACTAGAGTGAGTTAATATTGAATTTTTAAAACGAGTGTTAGTGTAATACATTATTTATTATATTTATATATAATATTTTATTTTTTAATTTTTATAGTTTTTAGACATTTTGAGTTCCTTAAAAAAGGTTTGATTTAAATAAAAGCCATATATTTATGCAAATTTATGTAAACAGAATTTTTATAAAAAACTATGTTTTTAAATGTGACAACTTTTTATGTTTAGATATTTAATTTGTTTTTAAGTTAAATAAAAAACATTTATATTTTTAGCTTGAAAACTTCAACTTTAATCGCAAAAAAATTTAAAACTTTTGCTGGAATGTTTTCGTTTTGTTTGCGTTTACTTATTTTTATTGACGCATCTTTAGTAGTTTTACAAGAAATGTCGTCTTTAAAGCGGTTTATTTATGTTGATTTTTCAAACTTGTTTTTCAAATTCGATTGCTACTCGCAAACTTTAGATTTTTTTATCTTTGATTTAACTCTTATTTTCTTATAAACTATCTACTCCAGCTTGAAGCAACTTAAAACCAAAATTAGATGGTACCTACTCTAACCTTGAAAAAAACACATACAAATCTCAGCTTTGTACAGCAAATAATTGTTGCATTGATATTAATATTTTTATATTGATAAATGACAATCTTATTTTGTTTTCTACTAAATATTTTCATGGATGGATCTTCGCAACTAACCAACCATAAAACTTTTTTTTATTGCGAACTAAACATTTGATAAGGTTGCCTCTTTTATTGTATTTGTCATTTTCTTACTCCTGATTTTATTCTCTACTTCTACAAATCTCCTATTCGTCCTTGTATTGAAAACTGTTAACATATTCAATCCTACTAAAACCGCATTGTGAACATTATCAAACCTTGTTAGCGTTTCCCTCTGTTTTAAGGTTGCTTCTCTCTCATTTCTTCAAAATTTGATCAAATGAATTATTATCGATTGTTTCATTAAGCAAATTTTAAATCGGTTTGACATTCTGCAAAGTTACATCCATTTAAAATAAATGCTACTTTATCAGGGCCAAATTGAGTACCAAGTGCCCCTGAGGCTGCAGGTTTTGTGCAAATTACAAAATTTGTAGCTGTAATGCGACAGCCAAGATAGAAAATGTTTTTTTTATATTATTCTTATAATTCAATGCGATTAATATGGTTTTCAAAATATTAACTGTAATAAATAGTTTTGAATGAAATAAAAATTGTAAAAGTTAAACAAACTAATAAATTTATGCAATAAAGAGCAAAAGTTTCTTCGATGATCTTGAATTTTGTGTGAGTTTGAAGGTTTGTGCATTTACTTAAATATTAAGCATCTAGTTTTAAATTTTTATTTGCTAATTATTCAATTACAGAATTTAAACCAAACTGCTGAATATAATCTATTTTCTACGCGTACCAGTGACAGGGGATTTAAACGCTCTTGGCCCATGGTTGATTTTAAATTGTTTTTTATAAGCTTAAGTCAAAATAATGAACGTTTTACGCTGCATTTGCTTACCATTAAATAAAAATACATGCGCAGTATAACTGAAACATTTGGGAAAGCAAACACAAGCCTACGAATACCAATAAATATAAAGATCTCAAAGTCTCTACTTTTAATTTTACAAATTTTGTTTTCAGCTGAGGTTGTTTCTTTGCTTACAATTTACAGTTTGTTCAAACCGTAAACTATTTGTTCAAACAGTTTACTGTTTGAACAAAGAGAATATTTTTATCTGATAATGAGACTCAAGATCTATTTGTTATATTTCAAACAAATGCGTGGTTTTAGCTAGCAATCATAAGATGTTAAAGTATTAAAATGAGACTTAAAACCAAATTTTTCGTCAATAACACTGTATGGAGAGGTTCTCTAATTCAAAACTAATAGTAGATTGCCAACAATTGGAAGAAAAGAGTGTGTTTTAAACTTGTCTGTCAGGGTAGGGTTTGGGCTAGGGTTAAGGTTATCATCTGCCTCTGAATCACGCTAGTCCCATTTTCTGTTTTGCTAATTTTTCTTTAATTCTTTTTTTAATTCGCATTGTTTTGATACAGAGTTTTATTTCTGTTCTACTTCACTCAACTGACACAAAGCTCTCTAACAAACGTTTTTATTTATTGCAACATCTTTGCAACCGTATCAAATCTAGTTTTGAACCTTAAAGACATTCTCTTTGTTTTGTCAATTCTTTCTAAAACCATTGACCGTACTTGACCATTAGTTTAGGCTCTAACTTATTTATATTTACAGTAAGTTCTTTTGCTTCCTATTACGCGTCAGCTTTTTCAACTGTCGATCTAAACATACTATCAAAAATCTTTTGAGTTATTATATATCCTTTCTGTTGTGCATTTAATGCATGATGGATAGCAGGCTAACGTGTACCCAAAAGTTGTTTCAATGTTTTTATTAGTATAGGAATAAAACCAGTTGAAATAAGAATCTATCGGTGCGTTGAAGCAGAGAAAATCATCAACGGCTTTTGAATGAAATCAAAAAAATAAACTGCAACTGGACAGCTGTTGACAGCATTTTTACCAACAATATTTAAAGAATCTCCACAATTTGGATTGTATTTAGCTAAACTCTTTTCTTTTCGAATCCAGGCTTGCATACCATAGTATTTTCTTTTCATATTTGATGATGTACATTAGATTGTCTTCAACAGTTTTTATTGATTATGCCAATCTCTTCTAAAAATGCAAGTAGTATTTTTACCAAGCTCTCACAAGTATTTTCATTTTTCGTAATAAATTTTATAAACTTGTCCGATCGCTATTACACATCAAATAATCAATGTTAACTGGTTTGAATGCAAAACACCCGTTGTTAAGTTTACTGAGACAGTATAGGATTTTGCATCTTTTATTTCTTGTATGACCTGCCTCATTAATTGATCACTTAAAACTAAAATAAATTCATCACAAATTGTTAAACAATGTTTTTGTACAATGTTGTTTAAATGCATCACCTAAAAATTTATCTTCTGACGTACTGAAATTGATTTCCATGTGTTGAAAACAACCAATTTTAACAAAACAGAAGTAATTGCGCTAAGCATCCGTAACTCGCAGCTCAGAAGTATTAGCGCAAAACATCCGTAACTTCTCTCATTCTTAACTCATCATGAAATTTTGTATTTACTTCTGCAATATGTTTAGTATATATATTTATTTATTCTTATTCAAAAACTCTTTATTTACATTTTTACTCTTTTTTTTTTAAGTTACTTTTTTAAAAGTTACAAACTCTTTGCAATTTTATATATAATATATATTAAATAAGTTTTATAAATATTAGAAGATTATTCAGAATAAAACAAATTAAACAATTCTAGTTTAACTTTTTAAAATATAAAATTTTTATTTCTGCGAAGAATATAACCCATAAAAAATCCTTTTGAATATTATTTTCAAAGATATTTATTTATGTATCTAAAAAATGTTAAATGTATCAAAATTTTTAACTTAATTGCAACCTTAATTTGCTCGTATAAATTGAGTTTGGGAACCGTGGGCACGAGCCAGGGCCTGCCTTAAAATTTTTTTAATTAACATTTCTTTTAATCTGATTAGTACCTCTTTAATCAATGATATTATAACGTTTGAGCATGTATCCCACTGCGTTGCTAAACAAAATATTCTACTATGATTTAGTGGGAACATTTTTGGTACCTCTTATCCTTCAATTAGTTTTAGTTCTAATATTTCCAATTTTTATCATGAGCAATGTTTATCATATTTAGTTGCTGCTAAAGGTGTGTGATTGACTAACATTGTATATACAAGTTTGTTAATTTTATTCGGCAAAAAATAAACTGAAAGCTTTCAAGGTTTATAAAAGTCAAACAAAATTGATATAAAGCAAAGGAACAGCCATAAACAGTGATAAAAACTAATCCGA